CATCACACCACACAGTTCCTTTGTCACTAGATGACACTGCCCATTTTCCAAACACAGGATCCTTTTCTTTTACGCTTTCCATTATATCTCCTAACATTATCTTGATTCGGTTGCCCACCACATCGTCCCATTTCAAATCTGTCAATTGCCTCTTAAGAAAACTGCATGCTGGTCGAAGCCAACCAGCCACCGGGAAATGTCCGATTAACTGCCCACACAAGGAGTACACATCCCTCTTGGTCTCAATTTTATCCAAAGCTTTTATCTTGTTGTCTCTGGTCCACATCAACTTGCCATCTCTTTTTGAGACGTTAAGCCCCAAAACCCTACTTCCATCAAGTGGCTCCACTGGTTTCGCTGACAGCCCATATTTTTCCAACAACTTCTTTACTACATCACCGTCAACAATGTTCTCATTCACCACTATGTCGTCAACATAAGAGTCCGTAGCACTTCGGACTATTGGGTCCATTGACAGCACTTTATTAACAATTTTGCTCATTATTTTCGGTGCGACATTTAGACCAAACCCGAGTCGTGTTAGACAATAATTCTTATCCTTAAATCGGACCACTTGGAATTTCCATAAATGAGGAGCAATATGGATTTGGAGATATGCCTTACGAAGGTCGATAGTGCTCACATGTTCTCCTAGCTTTCTCCACATCCTTAGCTTTTCCCCACAAACCTCACTTTCTGCTGTATGGCTTGAGACATACTGATTTAATTCCCTGTAATCCATTACAGGTCGCACTTTGTCCTTGTTATGTTGCACGACCGCCATTAAAGGAATTAAGCCATCAAACTCCCCGTCATAAGGCTGGAGCCAACCGTCTCTTATCCAATCATGCACTTCAGCGTCAAACGCCTCCCTTGCCTCTTTTGAAATTGAGTATGAAGGTACTTGGTTATTTATCTTAGGTGTTTTACCGCCATCTTTCCAATTCCATTCAACAGTCCATTTTCCATCAACAAATTTCGCATTAAAGTCACAATCATTAATAGCGATCTCATCGTTGCCATTCTCCGAGGTTTCCTTCACGCACAGCTCCTTCTTGGCCTCAGCCATCGCTCCGATACCAACGTCCCTGAACGTAATAGTGCCATCTCCATCAATAGTGACACCTCCCATTGCAGTTACTGCATCCATCCCTAGAAGCATCTGATACCTTGGCAATACACTGGCAACCAAGCAACTCAGTTTGAGCGGAACACCTCTTATCAAAACTTGTAACATACATGTCATGTTACACTCAACTGATTCTCCATTCATCATTATAATCCTTTGACTTACTGGCTTCAGTTCTACTCCATATTTCACTAAACTAGGTGACACAATGCTCCTTGAACAACCTGAGTCCAGCAAGGCACAGCATTTAAAACCCGACACACTTATTGTTAATGTAGGGAGTTGCGCTGAAGAAATTGGGCCACCCGCGCAACATAAGGCAGCCCCATTCACTCGTTTTTTGGAATTTGTGAACATTTTGAGGCATAATGTCCTACCTCCCCACACCGGTAACAGGTTACTTTTGACTCACGATTTAGATGGGGACACGAACGTGCTACGTGGCCTTCCCTCTCACAAACAAAGCATTTTTTAGACCACTGTTTACCAACTTTGAAAACTTTGGCATTAGCCTGTGCAACCGCCCCAAAGTTTGACTCACTGCCCAACAGATTCCTAGCTCTTGTCATTACATCCGACAACTCCATGCTTTGAAGAGAACACGCAGCTTTCAACTGGGTTTGAGTATCTTCTGGCAAGCCATGTACAACTGCGCTCTTAATCCACTCATCAGATACAAAAGGGTCCACCAATTTTGCCAGTCTCTTCAAATCAGAAGCATATACATCTAGTGACTCACCGGGAAGTAGACGCCTAGCTGTAAATTCTGCATAAGCCTGAAAACAGTTCGCAGAAAAGGCCTGCAGCAATGCATTGGTGAGAGCCTCATAGTTACTCTTTACATTTTCTGCTAGCCCGTCATATACAGAAAATGCTCCTCCAGCCAAAAATAGGGGGAGAACTGTCTGCAAGTCTTTCACCTTTTGGAGCTTACATACCAATTCTAGTTTCTTTAACCACTCACTAAAATCACCACTTCCATCATACTGCTTAATCAAGTCTGAGAACTTAACACCAGTACCTGACATTATGCCGAAATAGCTTGTAATTAAATCAACATGCAAATTAAAAAAAATAATTAAGATATTTAATGCTTTAACAAACTAACATTTTCTACACATCAGAACAATCCAACTCTGGAAAATATTGATTTCTCCTTGACAACAAGAATCAATAAAAATCATCCAAAGATAAACAAATAAAAATGTTCACAATATCAAACAGCTGATGACTAATTTATATCACAAGCACAGTATCTATAAAAGCTAAGCAAGAAAGGCAGTATCTGCGATGTAGATACTGCCTTTATGCTTAGTGATGTACATCACGTACTGCCTTTTTGCTTAGCAGTATGGGTACAAATGAGGAACTAAAAACACTTTTTACCAGCTGAGATTATGTTGTTGTGTTTGTGTTTACACTGTTGTTTGTAAATATGAAAATGGCTAGTAGTAGTTAGATGCTGCTTTTTAGCTTAGGGTCCTCCTATTAGCACTTACTAGCTAAGCAAAATGGCAGTATGAGCAGATGCTGCCTTTTGGCTTAGCATGAACACAAATATTTCTAAGGACAAAAGCAGTATGTGCATTTTTATATTGATCCAGTGGAAAAAATGTATTTTTTATAGTGTCAATTGAATATTTAGGCCTAAGCATTACCTAAGATAACAAAAAATATTAGTTTAGTCTTCAGATGTGTCAGGGCAATAGCGGCAAAGTTGAGGTCATTTTCTGAAAATATTCACTTTTGCACATACTGCCTTCTTTCTTAGCAGGGCAGAGATACACTACCGTAAAAAATTGTCACCCTTCAAAATAAATATCAGTTTGAAGACTTAGCCTAGTACTACACGAAAAACACTAGAAATTGGCGAATTCGTAGACACTTTTTTTAAAAGCTTTCTACTGAGTAGTGATTAGGTGATTTATATTAGGCTCACCCCTAAATTTTTTTTCGTATAAAAAACATACCATAATTTTGTTAAGTGATTGAGTTGAAGCTAGGGTATAGACGTTCACAACTTTTTACTGGTTTTGATAAGATTCTATGATGAAATACTGCGCTAAAGTTCTTCAATATTTTTCTTACAGGTATTTGAGAAAAAGAAATACCAAGATAAAGTTCACTTACCACATGAAAAATATTTAGATGGATACAATATCTTGAAACATTTCAGATTAAAAATATCAGTATTGGTTGACCAAACTCTGCTGGTCAATAAGTACAGAAATGAGATAAGCAAAAGGAGGAAACCGAAGGGGATGATATTAAAGATAAAAGCTTGTCCGGAAATAAAGGAGGGAGGCTGCACACTTTACGAGACTTGGTCAGTGCAAGTGTTGTATTTTAAGGGTAAATTTCCTTTAGCAGAGTATTGCGTCCGATTCTGTTATCTGCTAATACACAGGAAATCCCCGTACGTGGACCTCTAGATATTGGCCGGGCTAAGGACATTTAGGATCCTTCGGATTTTTTAGAGGGTATATTTTATGGTATAATTTCATTTACGTTGTAGACTTCTTAACGTGATCTTCTGATAAAATATTACTTTCCCGAAAACGGGCTTCATTGCGTTTGCAATTTTTTCTGAAATTCACGTGATTGAGATTGAATAAAAAAAAAAAAAAAAAACTAAAAATGAATGTTGATGAATAAATTGATTCTAAAACATAAAAAGAGCATTATAATGATATTCAGATTCACCTACAAATGTTTGTACTTCCTTTTTTACTAGACCATTTATTGTTATACTTTCCAAACTAAATCTATAAAGAACTTATTCTTGTCGTAATACGATGGTTATTAACTCTTTTGCATTAATTTGTCAGAAAACTTAGTTTATCCTATGTCATGATCCCTCACGATGGGTTTTAAGTTGTTTTAGTTAGTCGATGTTCAGTTGGTTATCGCATATATATATTTAAAAAAATTCTAATCGTTCTCTTACATTTGGCTATAGTTATTGGGAGGAACAATATTACATTGTATACCCTTTCTCAAGACTTGTTAATCATAATTATCTTCTCCAATATGGTCGACGTTACTACGAATTTGATGTTACAATGTGATCAATCATGATTATTCATTTTTCTCTGGTAACAAGATTGACACCCCTAGTGGTCACTTGTCATTAACTTGGCATCATAAAAGACACCCTCCTCCCTCCCCGCTTTAACATTGGTGTCCATCGTGGGGGGGGGGGGGGGTGGGGGGAGTTTATGACATTTCACGGTCACGAAACTGCTTCTGAGATATGATTACATCCAGAGGGTTGCCTCAGTTACTGCAAGTCTACAATTTTGTGAAAACCTGTTACACCACCTCTTCCTGAATTTGTATTGATTACATTGTAAAAACTTTTTAATGTTACTGTAATGTGTGTGTGTTGTTGTATGTTACTGTTTAATGTTTTTTTAATGTTGTTGTGTGTGTGTGTTTTTAATGTCATTAAGTAGTATCTTTTTAGTACTTCTGAGAGGTTTGCAATCAATAGAAACAAATATTAACACTGGGATTTATTTAAGAATTTGGATGGTTTTGTGATTTTTGTTTGGGAAAAGAGAGTTTTATAGGACCTTTGATGTAAACTTCTTCATGTATCGGAAGCATACCCTTTTTACAAATTGCTTTAACTGATACCATCTTTGGTCATGAATAACAAAAACTTTACATTCAATGCTATGCAGGTTTGACAAACGAATGGAAACACTTAGACAAAGAGAAATTAGGATTAGTTACATAGCTAAATAAATTATTTAACATAGACTGGATCTTGTAACAGCACATTTAAGTGACGCAGAACTCATACTTTCACATCAGTGCACAATTACTACTATTGTTTTTATTTTCATGATAGCCTTGTGCTGCTAGATTAACCAACAGTTGAGTTGACAGCAGTTTTGTTTTTCGACACAGGCACAAACAGATCAATGTCCTTCAGTTGAAATACGATCACCAAATACGAGAAAGTCATCGCTGCAATCTTCGTCAAAAGTTCCATGTTGAACGTAAAGATTCCACCGACTGTGAACTTAACCGGGTTGTCAATCGTCAGACGGGAATAGTTCCCGATCTTTTCCCAGAGAGAAGGCGAGTCTCTGTGCAAAATGTGATGAGCAATCTCCGCGGTTCTGTTGGCCTCGTTGGCGCACAGATGGCATGTGACAATCTGACACACAAGATTTACCAACAGGTAAAGAGTAATGTAGATTTTATAATCGATCAATGATTTTTCTTGGATCATCATATCGAATGTGTCGTAAGAAAAAAAGACCATGTTGAAAAACAAAGAAGTGACGTAGAAGAGGTTGAAGACACAAAAGTGAGAGTTGACGTTGGACACGATGACGTGGAGGGTGGAGTGGACGCGGAACACTGAGTCCAGGCGGGTCTCGACAATCTGCAGCAAGGTCTGATCAGCTGATGCTGCTATCCTGGTCAGCTGATCGTTCAATGCCGAGAACCTACTGTGAATCAGTTGAACGAACGTCAGGTGTTGATTCCAAGCCGCGTTGAACACCAGGTACAAAGCGATCATATTTGTGTATCCAATCAACATGTATATTAAGGTAAGACTCTTTAAGAGTGCGCACAACTGCGAGAGAACGATTACAGCCATAGTTTTGGTCAGGTTTGGAGATTGGATCAGAGCCCCCATTTCCCGGAGTTGGTCGTCGACAAGATTCAAATCATGCAGGATAGAGCGAAATTCCTCCGGATCGAAAAGAATCATCAGTAGATGTATCATATTTCCCAAAGCCTGTGGGAGAACTCCAATGAAATAATGTATGAGAAGTCTGTAGGGCAGCAGCAATGGAGATGCGATGGCGAAACTTGTGAAAGCCAGTAACAGTAGAAACATCCGTAAAAGCCTTCGATTGGAACAATCCCGCAGATACGGAATAAAAGGTGTTCAGGTCCAAAAATCATCATGGGAGTTTTCAATAAACTTGTAAAGGAAGGAAATACTACAGTAACAACTCTTACAAAGTATCGACACAAAGTATATTAGCAATTATATTATTTTCTTTACTTTTCCATCCGTCTTGTCTTGACACTGTGAAGTGTATGAAGTATCTCAACGCACGTTTTTTTCAATTTAAGATATTAAACTTAACGAGTCACAAGAAGTTCTAATACAGTATGAAATTGTTGAATATGACAACTGACTCAAATATTCAAGGACGACTACAACGTATTATAAAGCATGGAATGACATTGAGAGCTTTTACCAATATGGATTATCATTACCACCAAGTTAGTATTTAGCAATTGAACTAATGGATTATTGCCAAATATGTTATCCTCATTTATGTCAAATTTATTTTACAGGGTGTAAAATATTATAACATTTTATCGATTGCTATTGGTCACTCTAATCACCATCACTCTCAAAAAGAGAATGAAATAAATTATTTTCGTCCCTGTTTGATTCTTCTTGGTATTAAAGTACAAGAATATAAAAGTATACTTTGTTCTCACTAAACTATTTTAAATGTATTTTTTATTTAATCACATAAAACACGAAACAGAATAGATATACAGTACTTAATCACACTGGCTATTGGTTGGATACTTATACACTTTATATACAAGAGTTTGACTAAATGTATAGTTTAATTTTGACAGTGAATAATTTAATTCCGATGGATACAAAATCCGCTCAGACAAAACTGTGTTTCACAAAATTAGTAACAAGGTTGAGTTTCCCCCGGTTGGCTCAAAATGAGATTGTAGTTCACTTACGGTGTTTCTGTTATATTTGCAGATAGCAAAATCGGATGCAATGTCAGAGCGAGGAAATTTAGCAAATTACAACACTCTCTGGCGAGCCGTTCCCTGACCGTTAGCCTCTTCTCTTTTATTTCCAGAATAGCTTTTTATTACATAAAATATTATTATGTACTTATATTTTCTCTTATGTATTTTCCTGTTTTTGTATCACTTTTCCGTGCATACAGAAAAGCAGCACTAAATTTATTTATGATGTATGATCAACCTATTTAGTATGATATTTGAGAAATGTTTATACATCCTTTATTTGGCTGGGTAGCCGAGTGGTAAGTGCTCGCCAGACAGTCAAAAGGTCACCGGTTCGATTATGAGAAAAGTCAGTAGCTTTTGTTGGTTTTAAACCGGATCAAGTTGTACCCTGATAATTGGACCATTGGACAGATCATCTTACTCCATTCTACACTCATTCTTCACTCATATTTGGGTTAAAATACGCACCAATGTGGCTTCACCATCCCAATTACTAATGATAATGATAATTTAAAGAACAACTTGTCAAGTTTTTTGAGCCAATTTGAGCACAGGCTATAAAGTCAAAACATTTTAATTCTACTTTTAAAGTAAAATCACACTTGGTTCATTAAAGAAATATTTTATTTTGGTTACTGAGCATTAAGTATTGACCGTAATTGTAATTGCATGGATATGAGAGAGCTACAATGAGAATTCCATTGATTATTCTCTAGGTTTAATAAAAACATCAACGGTAAACATTTACAAATAGCTGGTGTATATTAATACAACAATACATATCTATAGCGCATAACATCTTTTGGCTTGTAATGAAACAATTATTGTTGCTTCAAAAGGTAATACAATAATTCTATTGTTCATTAAAATACTGCAACTGCACAAAAAAACTGTGATTGCACAACTATATCAACTGAAAAATATAAATTTTTATTATTAAATGCGGTTGATTTAAATCAGTAATGGCAACAATTTAGTTCCTACCAGTACTCGCATTATATAATATTTCGTTTTCCTTTGGACTGAAATAACAACTTGTACCTGCTGTATAAATAAGCCTAATAAAACATTAACCATAAAGGAGTATTCGATTTTGGCTCCCAAGAGACAAAGAATGTACAATTAGACGAAGTCTCGGCCCCTATGGACCACTCATCTTGTCTAAATCTTGTTTTATCCAATTGTTTAACTCCCCCAAAAGGAAATGATCGTAGTCTTGTCGAGTTAATTATGTTATGTTTGAGCTTTAATGATAACAAGAAGAATACTTCTAATTATTTATATTTTGCCCCAAATATTTTGTGCGTCAAAATTACAGAGGAATCAATGTGTAAATATAAAAAATGGTTACTTAAAAAGTTTAAGGTTTGTCAGTTTAATTTTTAAAAAGCTTACATTATCACATTCACATTAAACATGAGTAATACAAATTTAGTGACTCTTACGTATGCTAAGGTTAGATATATTTTCACATTTTCAAAAATTTTAACTTAAAGTTTTAAGGTTTATTTCAAAGTTTTAAGTAGCCCTAAATAATTTAAAACAATAAAAATGATGATCAACAGTTTTAAAAAAAAATTGTTGATAACCCACCTAACAAAAAAATAACTAACACAATCTGTACCAATATACAGAGACTATTTAAAGCTTTGAAATTAATTTCAATACTATACAATCTCTCCTCCTTCTTCCTCTCAAAACCGTGTAGAATGTAAAGTCTAATTTTTACGTCGATTAGATCTTTTAATCCATAGGATATAACAAGTGACATCAATGGGAGAGTTTATAAAATTTTTTCTTTTGCTTAAACAGTGGTCCATCACGTTATTTGTTATGTTATCATTTTAATGGTAATAGAGTATTGCAATATTAGTAAAAGCTATCGATTTAATACATCGTACATTATTTATAACACATGCAACCTTTCCTGATTGTTAGATATACAGCCATACTTATCAACAAAATGTTACTTGTATTAATAATATTACTTCTTTGTAGTAAATTGGTCGTAATTTTTAATATCAATTATTAAATTCAACATGATCAAATACGTTGGAATTCCATAAGCTGTCACATGTAACTTTACATCATATCTTGAAGAAGACATATTCAAATATCTCAAATAAATTGAATTGCTAATATGAGTTCTATTGTATTTCTTCAGTAGGAGTTCTTAGCGATTGTTCAACACGGGTTTTACTGAAAACCCCCACAATGATATTTGGCCCAGAAAACCTTTATTTCCGTATCTGCGGGATTGTTCCAATCGAAGGCTTTTACAGATGTTTCTACTGTGTAATCCCACTGGCATTGACATGTTTGGTCATCGCATCTCCACTCCTGAGAGACTACGGACTTCTCATGCATTATTGGCTCGGAGTTCTCCCGCAGGCTCTGGGAAATATGATACATCTACTGATGATTCTTTTCGATCCGGAAGAATTTCGCTCTATCCTGCATGATTTGAATCTTGTCGACGACCAACTCCGGGAAATGGGTGCTCTGATTCAATCTCCAAACCTGACCAAAACTATGGCTGTAATCATTCTCTCGCAGTTGTTCGCACTCTTAAAGAGTCTTACCTTGTTGGCTGACATGTTGGCTGATTATCCAAATATGATCACTATGTTCGTGATAATCAACGCGGCTTGGAACCAACACCTGACATTCGCTCAACTGATTCACAGTAGGTTCTCGGCATTGAACGATCAGCTGACCAGGATAGCAGCATCAGCTGATCAGACCTTGCTGCAGATTGTCGAGACCCGCCTGGACTCAGTGTTCCGCATCCACTCCACGCTCCACGTCATCGTGTCCAACGTCAACTCTCACTTTTGTGTCTTCAACCTCTTCTACGTCACCTTCTGTTTTTTTGAGGTGGTCTTTTATTCGTACAAGACACTTGATCAGATGATCAATGACAAAGCGGTGGTCGATATGGAATTAAAAGTTATTGTATACTTGTCAGTAAATCTTGTTTGTCAGATTGTCACATGCCATCTGTGCGCCAACGAGGCCAACAGAACCGCGGAGATTGCCCATCACATTTTGCACAGAGACTCGCCCTATTCTCTCTGGGAAAAGATCGGGAACTATTCCCGTCTGACGATTGACAACCCGGTTAAGTTCACAGTTGGTGGAATCTTTACGTTCAACATGGAACTTTTGACGAAGATTGCAGCGATGTCTTTCTCGTATTTGGTGATCATCTTTCAACTGAAGGACGTTGATCTGTTTGTGCCTATGTCAACCAGTGTAAATGCAACTGGCAACTAAGCAATGGAACATGAAAAAATCATGATGAAGTCAAAATCAAAAGGGTATTAACAGCTATGATGGTCTACCATTACTTAGCTGTGAAAATTATATTTTAAATTCATGACATGTTTGTCATGTCAAAATATTCTGTGTGGTTTCGATCAAAACTGTTAGCTATATGTTTAGTTATATTATTATCCCACGTTGTCACAGCTTTATAAGACCAGTAGAAATCACGTCTAACTTTCATCATTCTACTCTTGTCAATTATTATGCATGTAACATTTGTAATTGTATCTGTTGATATAAGTAAATAAATGAATAAACAAAGTATATATAAACTATTTTGTACATTAATTTGGTGGGAACGTATATTCTCCTTTATTACTTGTATATTCTTCACTTGGTCTTAGAGAAGTTAATATATTACTTATATTATATGGGTAATTATTGTTATGTTAATTTTATAGGTATTTAATTATACATGCTAGAGTTTTTTTAAATAATGATAGATAATGAAAGAACAAGTTTACACACTACAAGTTTCGATTTTTCCCCTGTAAAAGATTTTGATGAAGTTTCGGTTCTAAGTTAATTTGCAAAGTGGAGCAGACGATACCTGCTGACAGCGCTGAGAAGCAATTGAGAGTTCCTGCTTCATGTAGAAGTCATTCGAAACAAATGCAATTAACAAATTAAATCCAAATGGGTCTAAGCAGGAAGTCAGGATGATGTAACTGTTAAGTTTAAGTATTTAAGTAAAATTTGTTGATACCTCAGTGGTATGGCAAAATGTTTCTTAGATGTGTTCTTCAAACGTGTTTTTTTGTCCTAGGACAC